CCCACGGATAGGTGTCCATGCATGTGAGCGCAGGGCCTAGACAGAGCTGGGTCACTGGAGTCTTCCTGGCTGCCATAAAGAGTTGGTGCTGGTGTGATACGCAGGTGTGCCCACTTCAGTACTACAAATAACTTTAGTGGGGTGTGGTGAGCGCATTGATTACTATACTCACAAGGCAGAGGCAGGCAGATCTCTGCAGGTTTGAGGCTAGTCTAATCACATAGAGTGTTCCAGGCCAGCCAGGAATACACAACAAGACTTCATCTCAAAACCAACCAAATAAATACCAACCCCACCACCAAAAGAACAATCTTATAAAACTTCTTTCCAGGATATTTTGCTTAGCACGTGAGAGGGCATGGCTAGGTTATCACATATAGGATTTCAGAGCTCTGCAGGCTTTAGACCCTCCACCCATACGAGGTCCCTGGGATGAGCAACATTCTACATGCTCTTCCGGTTGGGTGCAGATGAGAAGATGGGGATATGGAGGATAGGTCTCAAAAAGCCTTCATGTCAGAGTTGCATCTGAGGCCCGACAACTAACCCTGTCAGATAACCCAAGCAACAGCCCTACATCTTACAGTGGGACTGCCCTCAGGGTGGACTGCGACAACAGGTCTCAGAGACCAGGGCCCGCATTCAGTCAGGGTCTTGGTTCAGGCCTATGACTCATATAGTCCAAATACAGTAGGGGCAGCTATGCAGGCCTTGGGGGAATGGGCAGTACAGAGGGGTTCCAGCAGTCAGGCTTATGCACGTGGCTGTGTGTGAGCATGTGCAAACGTATGCACACACAGACAACACAGACAAGGGTTGCTTTTCAACATTTCCCTCATTATACGCAACACACGGGGGGAATGGGCAGTACAGAGGGGTTCCAGCAGGCAGGCTTATGCACATGGCTGTGTGTGAGCATGTGCAAACGTGTGCACACACAGACAAGGGTTGCTTTTCAACATTTCCCTCATTATACGCAACACACTGAGTTTTTACTGTTTTTTTTTTTTTTTTGGTTTTTTCGAGACAGGGTTTCTCTG